TTTTTCTGTAAAAGTTGGCCAATTGAGAAGAAAAAAAACAGTGCAGCCTTTTAAAATGTGCTTATATAACATATGGTATTTAGTATTTAATACAAGGGTGCCTCAAGTCCCAAGAGGATAAGATTGTGGGCTGTGTGATTTTATCTTGTGTGACACCTTCTCCAGGCCCACATCCTTGACAAGGAAACTTAAGATCATTATGGGAAAAAATGTCTTTAATAGCACATATTTGTTGACATAACCGAGGTAATATTTTCTGACAAAGTAAGTTTTTCAGGAAGTATTTAAAAAATTTGTTGCCATTTGAATTAACTGATGGAACTGTGTTTGGTGGTTGTGCTTAAGATTTTGTCCCTAACTAGTCACATTTTAAGTTTCCAGCTATTAAAGCCTTAGCAGATTTGTCACCTGGAGTCTGTGTCCTTATAGAGTTTGAGGGAAGATTAAGCAAGACCACGTTGGCTGATGCCAACCTTCTTTTTGAGGAGAAATATTGGAAAGCAGCTCCCACCCAAGAGCCCCCTGAAAACTCCTGAACCCCAAGCCATTTCTTCAGGGGCCTTTGAGCCACATTCTGTACAACAGAAGACCACACATCAGAATTTTAAATTCTCTGCCTTCCAGAATCATCCAGGCAAACTTCAGGAAAGACTGGGTGACCAGGAGCAATCAGTGTAGATGTGGGTGCCCTGTGGGTGCTGCCAGCCCTCCCATGGAATTGCACCCAGAGAGGCCCCAGCCCACTCCACCCTGTATGGTCACACCACTGACCCAAAGCAAAACTCATGATTCTTCTTGCTTGTGACATTGGTCTTTCCTGGCCCTGAGAACTCTCAGGACGATCATGGGGACAGAAGTAAGAAGTGAGAGTTCTGAGGCCACAGGAGTTGAGGTGGATGGACATCGGCTCTGACATTGGCACGGGATTTGCAAGGGACGGAGGTTGAGGAAGTTAGGCTCTATGCCAAGGTCTCCAGCTGAGAGGCTGAAGTGGGCCTGAGCCCCAGCCCATCTGCCCAGGTAGTACAGACACAAGAGACTCAGGTGGAGGAGGGGCAGGGTATAAGGTTTATAGATTGGTAACCAAGGCCCATGATTTCCTCACCTGTGGAATTGGCATTTACAATGCACCTCATCTGGTCTGTTCTCCTGAGTCTCAGGTCAAGATAAAAAGATATTTCATAAGTCTCTCTACATGGTTCCTCCAGACAGAGGTGAAAATCAAAGATCTTATATGATTTTGAAATACATCCTGCTTGTGACCCCTGAGGAGGATCATCCAGGAAAGTGTCACTTGCCCAATCTAAGGTGACTTCCTGAGTCAGCAGCTACATTGTTGTGCAAAGCTACAGATATTAATTATAGTCATGGCCAGGAGGCCTGCAGCTTCTTTTTAAAATAATTTTCTTCTTATATTCCCTAAGTATCTGGCTAGCTAAAATAGATTATATCTACTTCCAACCCATTCTCCCTCATTTGGGCGGCTTACAGAAAATAGCGTTAGACTTCCATTGATCAATAGAAGGCACCTTGATGTGAACAGGGAAAATAAGTTCTTTGGTTGTCCCTTTACGGGGATAGTCTGAGTTGGAGCCTGTTTTCTTTAAAAATGTCATCCAGTTTAGTTAAGTTGCTGACCACCTGCTGTATTTAAGGCTTCTGGGTCATGGAGAGAAAGTGAAGAAAGATGCACTTGTGGTCCTGGAGGTAACTGGCAGAGGGTGGCGCTGGGCTCTTTTCTGAAAAAACTATTTTCAGGAGAACTTAGTAAATCATTGTGTGATAAACAAAGTTATGTCCTTAAGTTAAAATGTAAATATGTCACTGATACTGAGCACCATGTTCAAACAGAAAGATTGGTTGATTGGTTGGCTAGTTGGTTGGTTGGCTGGTTGACTGTTTGACTGGCTGGTTGGCTAGTTGGTTAGTTGGCTGGCTGGTTGGCTGGTTTGGTTAGTTGGCTAGCTGGCTGGCTGGTTGTCTGGTTGGTTGACTGGTTGGTTGGTTGGTTGGTTGATTGATTTGAAGATCATGGGGTTGTGCCCAAAGCCCAGCACCTCCCAGATTCTCCCCTGCACCTCACCCCTCCTCTGGGCTGTGTGCCAAGTGCTTTGCACACACACACATACACACACACACAAACATACAAGTTTTGCAGGAGAACCCACTTTAGTCCCTGCTCTATGGAGGAGCTCACCAAGTTTGGTGGGAAGGTGTCTTCACATGTGGCACCTTTCTCCCTGAGAACACATTTGCTCTTTGCTGACTGTCAGTTTCTCCTGCTGAGGTATAAATAATAGCATATCTGTAACTTGCCAGATTTCTCCAGGATGATGCAGAGACTTTTTAGAGTGAACAAACAGCGCTTCACTCAGTTGGAATGCGGGGTGGGGCTTGGCACCTCCCGTGCCCCATTCTCTAAACTCCTACCTCTGGGCCAGCCTCTCAGCTTCCAGAGACAGTGCAGAGGTCTCTGCCCTTGCACATCTGGCTGGTCTGTTGCACTGGCAAAAGTAGCTGTGAGAGGGAAAGGACAGAGTCCTCCTGCTAGGGGAGCCCAGTCACATATTTTCACAGCCCAGCTGTGTCTTAGGGGATGCAGGTGTCCAGGGTTTGTCCCAACACATTGAATTCCTGGCCATTTAGCTTACTTTTTTAAATTTTTCTTTTCATTTTTATGAGTGCATAGTAATTTTACAAAATTCTGTATTTCACTGTGGCTCTTTCAGACATGCATATGACCTTTTTGGTCATATCCTAGAATGTTCCCTGTCAAGAGCCAGACTGGACATGTCTCTTCGCAGATAAAGCCCACAGACCATGCAGGACACAATGAAGGGCTGTTTGCATGTCTAGCCACAAAGTTAATGCTTGTTATGTTTACTTGTTGTCCTGTGAAGGTCTGCTTAGTGTCCTCATCCCGGCCACAGTCTCCAGACCACACGAGCAATGCCACCGTCTCCTCCCGGACCTCAGACAGCAGCCTGGTGCCTGTGGCTGACTTCAGCCAACCCCCAGAGTCCTCCTCCTGCCTGGACAACTCTGCAGCCAAGCACAAGCTCCTGGTTAAGCCACGAAACCAGCGGTCAAGTAAAATGAGGCGGCTGTCTTCGGTAATTGGGCCTCCTCCTCTGCACAGGGGCTGGACGGGCAGGCTTGATGCACCCTGCTCCAATTGTTCCTTCCCATCTTTCCTTCCCCCTGACACTCTGCTCCTGGCTGGCTTCTCAGCCTTGGAAGCTCAGCTCAGAGTTTCTGTCCCCAGAGAGGTTCACGTTGACCTTTCGCTTCCTTCAGAGAACTTGATGGAGAAGTGACCTTCCTAAATGCATGTGCTCACTTTGAGCCTTGTCCCCAGCTTTACTTCCGGCCTTCAAAGTAGTGGTAGTCACAGAGTGGTATGCAGTAAATGTTTATTGAGTAGATGAATGAGCAGACCAGCAAAGGAATGAATGAGCCAATGAATGACAGAAAAAGCTGAAACACTAAAGTGACTCCTGTCTTGGACAAGGACCTGGTCAGTTGCATGAGGACCAGACTCCTCGTTGGGTGTGCTTCCAGGGAGAATCAGCACATCATGGTTCCAGAAGCTGATCACCTGGTTTGTAGGGAACTTTGGCCCCATGGTGCTGGTAGGTTAGTGGTCCACATAGGTTGCCTTCTCCCCTGCCTGATGGGGCCTTGGATGTGGGTGGTGCTTTGTAAACTCAGCCAGCAGAGCCAGAGGAAGGTGCAGGTGGAGACCTGAGCATGTGCTCGTGTGTCCAGCCCAGTGACAGTCAGAGCTGGATGCTGTGGGGATTTGAGAAGGGCTAAGGACCCCAGATCTGCCTGTTCTCCTGCAGAGAGGAGCCACAGGGACAGGGACAGGGACAGCCTGTGCTTTGTCCCCTGGAGTCTCTTGTGCTCTGGCAGGGGTGTGTGTAACTAGCCACAGCCTGACAGGACTTGGGGCCATCATCCTCCAGATACAACACAACAGTACCTCTCACCGTCCCCATGCAGAGCTGCAAGCTTCTCTCTTGACTTTTGAATTTGACTTCATTGTTGAATCCTATTTTGTAGAATAACAGAAAACCTGAGGTAGTCACTTTTAGGAAAACATTCAACAGGGTTGTAACTCGATTTAAACTCTCCATTTTCCATGTCTCTCCCATTCCTTTTCCCCTTCCCTGCTTCATAGTGAGCAGGTGTGGCTCTCTTAAATTCTTAGTGCTGTCCATATCTTCCCAGCAGTCACTGCCCTCCCTCCATTCACTGTTGGGTCCCACGTTGGAAGCCTCTGTCCATCAGTGTCCACAGCTTCCTCTGCCCTTCCATCCTTAGGTTCTTCTTCCCTGCCCCGGCCTCTCTTGGGCCTCAAGCTACTTCCAGATGCTCCCTTCCTGCTCCAAGGATGAGAAGAGTTGCACACTGTCCCCTCTGGCCCCCTCCCACCCCGGGCACATCTGTGGAAACTTGTTATCCCTTTGGACTTCACTGGACAGTGAGGTCTACTTTGCCCTGCTCTTTGATCCCCTATAGCAGCTGGGACCCCTCTTTTCATCACCCATTCCCTCATGTCCTTTCCTCCAAGCTCAAATGTGCGCAGTCTCTTCCCTGTTCTGCTTCTGCCCCTGCCTGGCCAGGGGCTCTCTAGCTGTGTCGCCAGGGAGTAAATGCCTCCATAACATCAAGGCTCTGACTCTTTTGGAGCTCTGGAAAAAAATAATAAAAAGGGCTCTTACTGTCCTAAAAACCCCATCTTGCACAGTAAAAACTTGGTGAACAATATTATGATATTTATTATGAAGTTAAAATACACACTTGAATGTATTTTGCTGCTCCCACCACAGCAGAGATTGGGAACCTTGGGTTGTGACCCCGGCATTTTACACTGCTGCACAGAACCATGCTGTGTGTGGGTCCAGGCCCAGTACAAGCAGAACACCCACAAATGGTTGCATCCGTGTCCTACCATGCCAGTTGGTCCTCAGTCCAACCTGGGCAGTGCCAGAAACAGGGAGTGTATTAATTCTGTTTTAAGAGGAGCAGTGCCACGGGATACCTGGCTCCAGGTCTCGAGGCTATGGTGCTACCAAATGCAAGACCCAGGTCTGCCCCCACCCCTGTATTGGGGCACTAGTTTGATTTGAGTACAGTGGGGGAAAACAGCACAAGGCTGGAGGACGTAAGAGTTAAATTGAGCTGAAATGTTTGGATCTTATTCTATAAGCTGTGGTGAGCTGATGCTAATGTTAGTGGTGGTATGAATGGTCCTTTAGGAGAACCAGGCTAACTCTGGTGTTGACATGGGACACTGACTCCAAGGCAGCACAGAAAGAGCCCTAGCTGATCACCCGGGCCACTTGCTGGCCATCAGTTAGGTCCTCTTGACCCAGGGTTGTTTTTTTGGTTTTGTTTTGTTTTGTTTGTACCAGGGATCGAACTCAGGACCTTGCACTTGAGAGGCAGGCAGTGGCACCACTGAGCTAAATCCCCGGCTCCTTGACCCAGGTTTTGACACCTCTGAGCTCCAATTTATCCAAGTGCACAAAGGGAAGGACGGTCGCTTCCTCCATGGGATGAATGGAGGAGCCAATAAAATAAGTGTAGAGCACAGAACCTGGCAGATACTCAGCTACTGTTGGCCTCACTCTGATCGGCAGCACCTGCTGATTTTGTAGCTGGCCCTCATAAGCTGTAAGTGACATGTCTTGTGGGACCTCAAAAATGTTTGAGTGAAGCATCCAAATAGACTGATAAGGGGGAGATTAAGAAAGCACACCTAGGGCCAGGGATTTAGCTCAGTGGTGCCACTGCCTGCCTCACAAGTACAGAATCCTGAGTTTGATCCCTGGTACCAGAAAAGCAAAGAAAGCACACCTGTGTGTGAATGTCTAAGTCAGTGCCACCTTTAGGGACATACTGCTTTCAGTAGAAAGCCTTCAGGAAGACAGGGAAGTCTTCAGCTTCCTAATATTTGCCACAGCAATGTTCTCTTATCTATTTCTCCTAGCGGGCACAGTCAGAATCCCTGAGTGACCTGATCTGTACCCCCGAGGAGGAGGAATATGATGAGAAGCCAGCACCTGAAGTCGGCACAGAGGAGAATCCCAGCTCTGCACAACAGGATTTGATGCTGGACAGAGACTGTTTGCCTGGGGGACCTGCTACCTTGATGCCACCTGGGGGACCCCGTGCTAGACGTGCCCGCCTGCAGCACAGCCCAGCACTCAGTGCAAGTATGGAAGAGGGGAGCTCCCTTGAGGATGTCCCCTCAAGCCACCTGGCTACCCCAGAGGTCACTGAGCCTGTGGCAGTCCCGGCCCCCTGCGTGGAGTCCCTGTCTCTACCGAACAGCTCTCTGCACCCCATCCCCAACATTGAAATCCAGGAGGAAGAGCTGTCCACTGCAAGCCCATGTCCTCAAGCTGAGGACAGAGATGAGGAGATGGTTTGTGCTTCTGGAGATGTGGAAAGTGCATTGTCTACCAGTGTCTCCTTGGTAGACACAACACCTCACGACATAGCACCTCCTGAGATTGTCATTGCCACCACCTTGGAGACACCCTGTGATCCAGGTGGTCCAGACCAAAGCATCCACCCAGAGGTAGAACCCATACTGGCATTGCCTGGCCCCAAGGGAACAGGGACAGAGCCTGCAGTGGTCCCCGCCCCGAGCCCTCCAGGGCCCAAGAGCTGCCTGAAGCACAGGGCTATGACAGTGGCCGAAGACCTCAGCATGTCCCCAGCACCCACCACAGAGTCACCGCTGCAGGACCCCAGCCCACAAGCCCTGGGCATCGAGGCTGTGCCCCCCGAGTGCCCCAAGGCTGAGCACACAGAGCCCCCTAAGGGCGGTCCTGAGAGAGGGACACCAGGACGGAAAAGTGAGCGGGGTGCGGCTGGTGGGGAGCTGCGGGGTGGGAAGAAGTTCTCAGTGTCGTCATGCAGGGCACAGCCACACCCAGGAGGCCCTCGGCTTTTGGGTCCCACTGTCCCCACTGTCTCTGCAATCCGATTGCCCCTGGCACGCAGTGGCCTGGCCTGGAAGAGTGAGGCGGCCCTCGATGACCTCCACATGCTCCCCGAGCCCCAGACTTGGAAATCAGACCCTCAGAAGCCAGCAGAGCCAGAGTCTCAGGACTCAGGAGACATTGTGGCCACCATGCCAGGCATGGGAGAGCCCTGCCCAGGCACTACAGAGAAACCCCCATGTGAGGACAAAAGTTCCTTCCCTGTCAAGCTGCGGTCCACCTCCCTGTCCCTCAAGTACAGAGAGGGCTCCTCCCAGGAAGCCAAGGGCATCAAGAGACACAGCGCTGAGGTTAGGTTAGAAAGAGGAGGGCTGGCCCTGCTCCCCAAAGATGAGCAGGGTCACATCGGGACAGCCACTGCACTCCGAGGTGCCAGGTCCCCCAACAGCCAAGGAAAGGGGAAGGCGCGTTCCCCTGAGCAACCCAGCTCCAAGCCACCCCTGCCCAGGAAGCCACTGCTGCAGAGCCTCACCCTGGCCTACATGCCTGATGTCAGCCCCGGAGAGCCCGAGAAAGTGACCCTGCCTGCAGACCCCAGAAAGGACAGCAGAGGGACAGAGAAGTCAGGACGCAGAGGAGCTGGTAAGAGCCGCCTACCTCCGGGGTACAGGTGGGGCAAAGGAAAGTCCACGATGGCTGGAATTTCTCCTTGGGTGTCCATGGAGAATGTAAATGCTCTTGATGCAAAGGGAACAGAAGAAAGAATCAGTGTTCCTCTTAGTACCACTGATACCATGTTTGAAGAAGAGTTAGGGGACTGGGGGTATAGCTTAGTGGTAGAGCCCTTAACCAGCATGAATGAGGCCCTGGGTTCAACCCCTAGCACTGCAAAAACAAAACCCAACTCTGATTAAGAATTAGAAACAGCGCCACATGCTATAATCCCAGTACTCTGAGAGACAGAAGGTTCTTAAGTTTGAGCCCAGCCTGGGCAACTTAGTGACTGAGCAAGATCCTATCTGAAAGGGGGTGGGGAGCTGGAGGTGTGGCTCAGTCCAAAGGATCTGGGTTCAATTTCCAGTACCAGAGGAAAATAAAACAAAACAAAGCAAAAACAAATGAACAGAAAAAAATAAACACAATCTTGTGTAAGTACTGAGAAGTCAGGTTTGTGGACATAACAAGGGGAATGTAAAAAGTGATTTTCCAGCATATTTTCTGAAAGACAATGGGCTCCTCAGCAGATCCCTCCAATGCTTCTCCCACTTTTTATCTCAGAAACTCACCAAGGCCCCAAATCCTGGGACATGTATGCTCATCTTGATGCCAGTTAGTTCTCCCAGGGCCAAAGCTGCTTCTTGGCTAAAAATAAAACATCCCTGGCAAGCACAAGGTCCTGATTTCGATCCCTGGTACCAAAAGAAAAATAAATAAATAAATAAATAAATAAAACATCTCACTTCTCTATCAGTGAGAGTCCTCTGACCTTTTCCCCCAAGGAAATTCTTCTTTTCTCGTCCTAACAAGGCTCATGTGGCCTGGTCTCACACGGAAAGCATCCGTGAATGATTGGAGTCACAAGGCTTTGTACAATGGAAGCCTTTCAGAGGTGTTTATTTCCTTTCCCCAAAACAAATCATGTTACAACTAGGGGCAGCATGAGAGTGTTTACAAACAACTGTCCTTTCAAAGGAGCAAGAACAGAACAGATGACTTTTCTCCTTTGACATTTGTCACTTACAGTGTTTCAGATGAAATGAGAAGCCTTTTTGGGATGGAGGTGTGTAGCAGAAGTAAGGACTCATTCATTACTGCTTTTTTTTATTTATGGAAATCTGTGTGCCAGAAAACAGAGTCATGTATACTTGAGTCATGCATGTGTATGATTGGGGTCCTAGAGAGAAGTTTTCCACAGCACGTTTTATTTTTAAATGCTTCTGGCTATTTTATGTGGCCCCTAGAAGTCTAGGAGTCCACTTACCCACTGCAGCGTGGGACAGAGGAAACAGAACTTGGTGGCTGTCTTGGGGGAATCCTTCATCCTAAAAGGAAGATGCACACAGGAGGAAAAATTAGCATAAACAAAGCAATGGAACACAAGTCCAAAGATACTCTAGTTTTCTGCCTCCCACCTAGGAAGTTAGTAAACATGCAGAGTCTGAAGAGCTTTGGGTTTCTAAGATGACCCCCAAGGATACCAGGAAGTGCAAAGAGCCAGCAGATATGCCTTCCTGGTCCCTGGTACCATTGGCTTAGCTAGGAATTTTTCACTGCTCCTGCTGCCACTGTATTAGGATGAGCTGCAAGGGAGCTGGGATGTGGGGGTGTTCAAGTCCTAGCTGATGATCCACTGTGCAGATTCCCAGCACATTATTGAAGCAACTGCAGAGTGATTCAAAAAAACCATCTGAAGAGCAAGGAGAGTTGCTCTGTGCACATGAAACCTCAGCATCAACACCATCCACCTTCATGGCCCAGCAGTAAAATGTCTCTCAAGGGCTTGCAGAGTGAATGGAACCTAAAAACTCAGGGTCAGAGTCCAAACTGTAAAAGAAGCTTCTGAGGGCAACACTTGGCCCCGTAATTGTACGTGACCCCCTCTCAGCCCAGGCTGCAATGCTGTTTCCACTCACAACACCTAGGACGGTCTGTAGCAAACCTTTTTTCTTTAATTTATGAAATGTGATACAGCATTTATTTTTATGGGCTTCATTAAATAGTAGGAGAGAATTGTCTTGTCCATCCATGAATATTAGCCACAGAAATAACAGTCAGGTGAATTCCGAAGTGAAAGAAGCTATGGGCACAGGTAATGATTTTCACTGTAATGCAGAGAGGAGAGGAATTACCCGTGTTCTTCTAGGAACCTGCTCTCCCTGGGGGCAGTTTTTGAGAGACAAGTGCTCCAACAGGTTGTGGGTGCACCCTGGGCCCACTCCAGACTTTGGGGGTCTGGTTCTGCCTGTGCAGACCACAGCAGAATGTCAGGGTCCCTGATGTTGGGGCCCATCTCTGAAATAGCCCCCCACCTTCCCCAGACACGGATGTGTTTGTGGTTTAATTCATTATTATTACTTCTACTTTCTTCCTCATTGCTTCCAAATTATAACAGCTGGAGGCAGTTGGACTTGTATAAAACATATAGGTAATAAAAGTTTTAATAACAATGCTCATCTGTTTTCCAGGAAGACCTAATTACTGCTATTTATTATCTTGTGGTGGCAGATATTCTGCCCAGAGCTCCCCGATGGGCTGCCATCTCCCCACATCCCTTTCAGGGCAGGCACCGTAAAGGTAGATTATTGAAGTGTTCCAGATGGGTGTGCAGTTCTGCCATGGTGACTTTGGCCCTGGAACTCCTGCTTCCTCCTCCTCCCACTCCCCTCTCCTCACCCCTCCCCTCCCCTTCCCTCCTCCTCCTCTCTCCCATGTCCCATATTCCCTTCTTGAAGAAATGGAGAACCCTTCACAGAGGAAGGAAAGATGCAAGGCTTTTGAATAACACAGGACCTGGCTTGCCAAAGAGTCCAAGCTTTACAGGGCCAAGCATTCATTAGCCATCGTGGGTCCTTGCTTTAGTGATAATGGAAATTAAAAATAAAGCCAACAGTATGAGTTGACAGGTAAAAGCTTTAATTAGAAGGTAAGATCAAGAAAGGACTCCTTCAGCTTGACTCTGATGAAAATCAGTGACCTACCCACCAAAGGAAGGAGAACAGTTTTGTGGGGTACTGCAGCAGCTGGGGTCTGGTCAATCATAAGTCAGTTCTGATTTTGTAGTTCAAGTTGAATCCTGTTGGTTGAGGGGTGGTTTGGTTCCCCTCGATGGGCATGGATGGAATCCTCAGGGCTAACAGTCCCAGTCATGTGAGGTTCTGCTAGAATCCATAGGCCTATGGCAATGGAGATTCTGGGTGTTGCTGAATGTCCCTGTAAATCGCTAATCCTGGTATCTTTATCTTGATGGGTAATGAGATAGGCTAGGTAAATTTATGGCTAATAAACCTTGTTTTGCTAACTTTTAGACAGATAATCCCCAAAAGACTAACATACCTGTATGGGGAGCTGAAAAGGATTTGACCCAGAGGTGCAGAAAATGAAGGCCAAGCTTTGTTCTACTTTTAGTTAGGCTCCAGTGAAGAGTTGTGGGTTTTAGTAAAAATAGCTCTTAAGGCCCTGATTGTCTTAGAAGAAAACATAAATCATGCTTTTGGAGAGTAATAGATTAAGGGCCAAGGAGTTTTTCCTTTGTCCTTATGGTGTTTTCTTGACTCTGTCATGACTGTATCAACCTTGGCGTGGTTGCTTTAAGCCCAGCACCATATTTGTGCTTCTCAGCATAGAGAGGACTATTTCTAGACCTGGTCCACACTTGCTGATCTGCCATTGTAGGTAAGTGGCCCAGGGTTATTAGTGTTTGTTATGGCTTATATACAGAATGTGCCCCCAAGGCCTCATGCACTCTTGGGCAGGGCTTATAAAAGAGGATTGGACCATGGAGTGCCATTTGTTCAGGACATTATCCATCTTCCTGTTGGGCCAGTCCATCACAGGCGAAATTATAGGTCAGGAAGCAGCTTTCTACACACAAGGTAAGAATGAGAGCAAAGGAGCTGTAGTCTTGTGAGGAAACATTGTAAAGACAGAAAGCATACAGGGAAAATTGTCACTCCTGGGCTGTGGGTTTAGCTCAGTGGTAGAGAGACAGAGAGAGAGAGAGAGAGAGAGAGAGAGAGAGAGAATGAATTACTCATAGATCTACTCTCCAGATGTCACCACATTGACCTTTTTTTCCATCTATTTTCTTTCTGGATATAGGGATGTGAGATTTATTTTGTACAAGTTGTGGTCCGATGTTGATGTGTTGGAGGGCGGCTCATCATTTTGCCATTCTTAATCTGCAGTGGCCTCCAATCTGAGCTCCTCCACAGTGACATCAGTCTCTGACCTCTTCTTCTAGACTCTAGTCCTCCTGCCCTCACTCATTCCTGACTCATGCATGTCATTCTTTTGCCTAATATTTAGCACATTTCTGCTTCTTTGAAGCAACATATTTCCTCTAGAAGACAGGAGAAGGGCAAGTCCCCAACCCTCAGGAGGTGACTTCAGGAAGGTGGCATCTAGATACCCCAAGGGAACTTAGGGATGTACATCTTGTCTTTGGATGTCAGAGACATTTTTGGAGGAAATGGACTCAGATTGTACCCTTCTCTAATAACAGTAATATAATGTGCACTTGAGTGTATGTTTATATCCTACAAGAATATATATCAATATCTCTTGAATTTTTTACTTTATCAGGATAAGAACAGTCAACATGAAATCTACTCTCAACAATTTTTAATGTACAATGTTGACTATAAGTACAATGGTGTACAGAAATCTCTAGAACTTACTCATTATACGCCACTGAAATTTATGCACAGTAGCTAGGACTACATGCATGTGCCACTATGCCTGGCTCAGTCTTTTTAGAGAAATACTCACAAATGTGTATATCCTGAATTTTTAAAGAAAGCCAGCTGTTCTCACTACTATACTTCCTTTTTTTTCCTATTAAGTTTATTGGTACATTTTTGGTATAAAATACAGTTACATTCATCATTGGGATCTTGTACCATTACATGAGTATCTTGGTTCTT